TGGAGTTGTGCATAGAAGCCATTTAGACATGTTCCTTCTATCATTTATAAGCCCATTTAAAATATTTCTCTGTCTTTTAAAGAACTGTGCATATTTAGATTAAAAAAAAAGATAAAAACTAACAAGATTAATGTTCAGTTGCTTCAACTTGATGTTCCTCATAACATTTTGAATAAATAACAAGTTTTTAAAAACGAAAATGTAAATAAATACACTTTAAACATACTATACTGTATGTTCAGATGTATTCTGTCAATATATAAATTGCATAATATTGGCTTTTTGATTGAGAAATAAGTAAAATATACGAGGAAATATAGTATGGTTCTTTTTACATAATCGCATGTAATCATCTCCTTGAGAAAATGAACACAGAGTTCAATAAACTCATGTTTACATTTTATGGATGAACCTTCAGGATTAATCTGATATAGTACATAAATATAATGACATTATTCAAAGGAAAACATTTTTCAACTTCAGTTTACTGGACAGATTTAGGTTGGGAAAAACTTTGATTTTACTAAGATAATCAATTTAAAAAAGGATATTTTTTGAGAAGCTTTTTTTTTAAGTGCTTTGTTATTCATCCACTGTAATCTAAAAAACTCACACGAAGAGAACAGACCATTAAGGAGAAATTTATTGATACAATTACTTTGTCTTTGGCGCTCAGACATCAGCAGGACACATAACGCTGAATTTTGAGAGATATGCATGAACAGGAGCAAAGAATAGGGCTGTTTCCCACCAGGCCTAAAACTGGTGGTGGAGTGGAGATAGAGGAAGTTGGTCAGTCTGTAGACTGCTGATTATTGAGACGGTCTGCTGAGCTTTATGGGGAGATCCAGTGGACTGGGTGAGCTGATACTAGAGCTTCACTCAGGGACCTGGAAGAGAGAAGTCCAGTTTAGATACCACAGGTTGAAAGAACCTGTCCATGCTGAGCAAGCATGGAGCGACAGTGGAAAGGAAAAACTCCCCGTTGGGAAGAAACCTCTGGCAGAACCAGGCTGAACATGGAGTGGACAGTGCGGATCGGAGGCCTTTTAAGATGAACTTTGGATGCCGATTGGCTTTCGTGGAGGTGTAGTTCAAAGCTGATTGGCTGTGACGCAGGTGGATGTAGGAGAGCAATCAGTTTCTTCAGTTGAACTTCCGCCTAGGCTCCATTTAACAGCATTTTCTGACACACTTGAATGTATAGATGCTATTTAGTGCATAATCATGGATGTGACAATAATAGCAGAGCAAGGAATCGTCTTTAGCCTTTCTTCTTTCAGGACCACTAGGATTTCCAAAATAAATAAAAAAAACTGATTTGCAACATGCCAGAATAATAATTTAATTGTTTGTTTTACATTCCCCAGAATGTTGCCAAATTGGCCAAAAGATATTTTGGCTAATTTGTCCTGACACAGCTCATGTAACTTAGTTGATCTGTGCTGATCTCTCCTCACAAATCTTTCTCGCACTGCTCACAATATTAGAGTGAGATCAGAAGTTTAAGATGGCCATCCCAAAACACTGACTTTGTCACTAATTAAATCTGTATACATACAATCATTGTTCCAATAGGCAGGGGCGGAGCTAGATGGGAGGCCATGTGGCCACCCCTACCATTTTTTCCCTTCTAATACAGATGGTGGCAACAGCAATACTCTTAAGTGGAATACTCAAAACATTTTAATTTTTCACACATTAACAATTACTTGACAATAAAAAAACACTGTTGTTAATTATACACATCAATATACTAATATTAAAGATGATAAAGTACAGAATTCATGCTCTTTTCAGAACTAGATTTTGTGTTATATAGGGTAAAGAGAAAAGGATGTGTCTCTGAAAGTCATTTAGGAATCTTCAGGGAAATATAGATAAATAACTATTTTAGTAAAAATGTGTTAAATAATCAATTTATGGAGATATTAGTACCTTGTAAATATCAATTTTATGCCAAAGGATTATTGATAAAAGTAGGTAAGTGGTGACAATGGAAAAGATGTTTGACCCAGAACTCAAACCTGAAAAGAATGTATCCACCATACCTATAATTTAGAAAATGGATGTTGAAATATGTGCGTCTATTTGTTAGGAAAGGCTGCAGGAATGTATAGTTACTCTTTATTTAGCGAATATAGATGTTGCAATCGTTCATTTTCCTGTTGGAACGGTATAGATTGACCCTGAGGTTCTGGCGCCTATCCACTTTCGGCCACCCCTCAGTCTACATTGGCTATCGTCTGGCCACTCTTATGAAAATTTTGTGGCTATGCCTCTGCCAATAGGGCTACAGTTGAGCCCAAGCTTTGATGTCTTGTGAGGTTGCTTAGATATTTCAACAAGATTTTTCCTAACAGTGCCGCATATTCTTAGTTCTCTATATAATACCGCCACCTCCATGCTTTATAGCTAATCATCAAAGCCTCCCCATTACCCTCTGAATGTATGGAGGCAGTTATAGATACAATTCAATATCAGTTTAATCAAACCATTGGAAATGTCAATCATCATTAAGATCATGGTACCACGAGTTCATTAGTGTGAACTGCAAGCTGACTTCCTTATTTTTAAGACTGAAACTAAGTCTTGTTTCTCTGTGTAATGACAACATTTCACAAAGTCTCCTGCTTTTGTTCAAAAGGTGATTTTAACATCTGAAACAAAGAGCCTGTCTCCTTCCTGTAAGTTATAACCAAACGTTCGCATGCTGTTAATGGCTGCATCAAAAATATTTGACCTTTTATAAAATTAAATTTTTTTTCTTGTGTGAAATCATTTACCCATGATTTCACACAAGGACAATGTGCTTGTGAGGCGTTGAAATAATCACACCTGTCTTCATTTAACTCAGAGGCTAGAAATGTAATGCTGCAGATCAATAAGCTTTTCCACATTTTATGAAATTTTAGGAGGTCCGAAATTATTAATTTTTCTTGCATTTAATAAATGGATATGATTTACTCGTCATATAAGACCTAAATGAGGCAATATTTTGTCTTAGGCAGAAAAAAACAAGATAGGTACAACATGTTGGGGATGGAACAGCATGAATTGTTTAATTAATTTAATTAAAGTGAGGTCTGCTGCTATTAGGGATCTATTTCTTGCAGTACTCCTCAGCTCTAAATTCATCTTCCTAGAAACACCATATCTGTAAAAGACCGGGCTTTGTACTGAGTAAATACTTCTGGTCTCTTCAAGGCCAGTAATCCCATAAGGAAATGTCCCTGTGAGGCAACAAAAACATGTGTGCTTACACACTTTGGAGCCAAACATTAAGTGCTCAGTGGTGGACTGCTGCAGGCGGGTGTAGGATCTGCACTACTGGCCTACTTTTGGACAGGTCAGCTTTCTGAAAGCATCCAACCACCGTGAAATTCCAATTATTCTGTGGAGGATCCCCACATTCACATCATGGCCTCATATAGATCTTTTCAGATTCATGGATTTTTAGACTCTGCTGAATGAAAAATGTTTAATATGAAGGAAGATTATAAAAAGGTGATTAGTGAAATTATTCCTTTTTGTTTATGTTTTCTGTGAGATATACAAGGAAATACACATAATGATCGGCATGCTCAAATATTTTGGTTACCCTGTCTTCATCTCTTGTGAGCTAATTGATAAACAAAATAATGGTAAATTGAATAAATTTAATATTACAATTAAGGGAGAACGTACACATTTTATTATACGATGTGAATCAATGTTCTCTATTAGATTTTAACACATCACAAATTAAATTTCGTTTTTTTTTATATTATAATTATTCAAGCAAAAACATTTTTTCCATAGAGAACAATCAGAATAATTTCACTCTATTAAATTAAATTACTGTATACCAAAACTAATTACTGAATTATATGCTTAAAATATTAATTAGATCATAAAAACAAAACCATAAAGTTTAAGAAAAAGAAAATGCGTATTAATAATGCCATGTGTTGTCCATAAATTTATAAAAACAAAAAAAAACATCCAATGGGTCATATTTCTAATGTTACTTTATAAAGAAAAATACTGAACAGGTGGCGAACGATAAGATTGCGATTAAATAATCAGAGTTTCCTTTTAATGTCTATTTTTTCCTAGAAGCGAAGAACAATCATGTCAGAGCTGATGCGCCTGGAACTCAGACTGTTTATTGACTGCATTGTGTTTAAGAGGCAGAAACTAATTATTCAATATTCATGTTTGTTTAAACTAAAAGGTTCCAAAGTTCTAATTTCTAAAAGCTTAAAGTTAGAGCTGCTGCAGAGCACCACAGGCGCAATACAGCTTCACGCGCTCCTCTTCCAGCAGCTGCAGCTCCTCTGACTGATCAGGACATTAGAAGTATCTGCCTCGTGGCATGACGCATCCGGGGCGCGCGCTCACACAGCAGTTTCAGCACCGCGGAGCAGCGCAGCGAGGATGAGGATGAAGAGGAGCGCGTGAAGCCTTAGAGCACCTTCACTCTCAGGGAGATGGATTTAATGGCTTATTACTGTTTTTGATTTTCCCTTTCCTGAGTAAAATAAAAAAGGAGGATGGGAGACCGAAATCAGCGGACGCAAACTCTAGGAGGTCTCGCGACCAAGTCGCTGGTCTCCAAAGAGACCAAGCTCCGGCTGCGCGTGATCTTTCTGGATGACAGCGAGCGCACCTTCGAGGTGGAGGTAAATCCGAAATATATACCTGTAGGCTTTCCCTTTTCTACGGAAGAAGGCCACCGAAACAATAAAAAAAGTCAACAGATTTTTAGATTTTATTTCAGTTAATATAAGAAAAAAATCAGAATTCTGACTTTTCTTAAAATTCTGACTTTAATCTCAGAATTCTGATTTCTCACAATTCTGACTTTAATCTCAGAATTCTGATTTCTCACAATTCTGACTTTAATCTCAGAACTCTGAC